GTAGTGTCCACGGGTAAGTCCACATCTTCCAGTTCCTCCAGCGCGTGTAACCAAACATCCTCAACTCTTTCCAGTGGTACCAAAGGCAGCACGGCAGCCAGGCGAACTAGTCTTTTGATGTCGTCGTTCTCTCTGAAAAGTTGCTGAAGTCCGGTTTGTTAGGCTTTCCTCCAAATGCAGTGGGTAAAGTGGAAAAAACATCCTTTGATGGTCATTCCTGGGAACACTTGTACTTGAGGGCGTTGTGAGCTGCTGTCTCAAAGTCAACAAAGGCTGTTGTAGGACGTAGAGGGAGGTTGAAGTCAGTCGTTGTTGTCTTCAGTGGCGTCAGGAAACGGGTATACAGCTGCTGTGTCTTGCCGGGTAGGAGTGTGTAAAAAAGAGGATACAGTGTTCACTATCTGGTGATAGAACTATCATCACCACCTCTGAGATCATCTTATAATTGTTGGTATTTGGGGTCGATGGCTTGGGTAATTAAATAACATAAGTATACTTACATTTAGAAAACATAAAATAATTTGTATAGGTATAATAAAAAATGAATACTATTAATACCAATGGATATTTTGTTTAATTGTATATAATGATTAATATCCTAAAATATTTCATCATCATTATCAATTTACTTCATATGGGGCCCTTAATATATACTTAATATATATTCAATTCAGACAAATTTATCAAAAATGTAAAACTTTAATTCTGATATAATGAAATATTTTAGTGAATTTTGACCTCCTCTAGTAAATGATAAATTAAAATAAATTGAAATTTATATATTTAAGAAAAAAAAGTCTTTAATTTGTTAAAATTTTCAGTGACATACATATCAGCATAAAGAAATAAAATGCAATGCTTTTTTATTTTATATATTTTTTAAAACTCAATAAAATAGCTATCATTTAATAGGCTAGTAGGCACAGGTGACCATAGGTAAAATACAGGTAAAAACACAGGTAATTAATATGAAATAGACTATAATCCTTATTACAACATTCTTCTGCCCATGTTATTTTAAATAGTGGGCAAATCGGGATACAGCACTGCATTATCTTAATAAAATCGAAATGCAATCGTAGTAAAAATCCTGGAGCGATAAATCTTCGAACGGCATGGTATATAATTTCTTCGAATTATCTTACTGTTTGCAAGAGTTATCCCCCTTACAACATACTACGAATTCAAACAAGGTGGAGTTTGATGGCGTCTCAATATAACCATGTAGACACTGTTGAGACATTTGTAGACATTTATGTAGAGAATGGAGACATTTCTGTAGACAGTCGGATGGTGATAAGTGGCGTATCGGTCGACAGTTCGGTGAAGGTTGGTGAAGTCACTGTAGACAGTCTGATGGAGGTACATGTAGGTAACGTCTCTGAAGAGTCATGTGATTGTAGATAACACAGAGTCATGTGATTGTAGATAACTTCTCTGCAGACAGTCATTGTATTAAGGTGACGTATATGTAGACATGTGAACGTATAGGTTACGTCTATGTAGACAGTCGGGTGAATGTATGGATGATGTAGTATTACGGAGGTCCGGGTTCGTGACGTCTCCGTAGACAGCTTGTGAGTGTAGATGACTTCCAGGTAGACAGTCTGGAGAATAAAGGTGGCGTCACTATAGACAGTCGGGCGAATATATGCGTTATGTCTCTGTAGACAGTCTAGTGAATGTTTAGGTGACGTCTCTGTAGAGACTCTAGTGAATGTTTAGGTGACGTCTCTGTAGACAGTCTAGTGAATGTTTAGATGCCGTCTTTGTAGAGAGTCTAGTGAATGTTTAGATGACGCCTCTGTAGAGAGTCTAGTGAATGTTTAGGTGACGTCTATGTAGACAGTCTAGTGAATGTTTAGGTGACGTCTCTGTAGACAGTCTAGTGAATGTTTAGGTGACGTCTCTGTAGAGAGTCTAGTGAATGTTTAGTTGACGTCTCTGTAGAGAGTCTAGTGAATGTTTAGGTGACGTCTCTGTAGAGAGTCTAGTAAATGTTGAGGTGACGTCTCTGTAGAGAGTCGAGAGAATGTTTAGTTGACGTCTCTGTAGACAGTCTCGTAAATGTTTAGATGACGTCTCTGTAGAGAGTCGAGAGAACGTAGGCAAAATTTCCAGTCTGTCTCTAGTCTCTCAGTATGGTAAACAGTCGGACGGAGGTTGGAAATGGCTCTGTAGACAGTTAGCTTTGGTGGAGGCTGATGGTGACTTGAGACATTTTGACGGAGGCTAGTCACGTCTCTGTAGACAGACAGGTGTAGCTGAGATTGAAGAGATCTCTGTAGTATGACTCATGGAGGTCTGTGTCATCACTGTAAAATTTTGGACGGAGGCTGACAACGTCTAAGTAATTATGTGGGTGATGGTTGGGGACATTTCCGTAGATTGCAGATTGGCGATGTCTCTGTAGGCAGTCGGATGTAAGTTGATGATGCCTCTGTAGTCATTTGGATGGAGGTTGACAATGTATCTGGTGACTTCCATGTAAACAGACGGTTGAAGATCGAATGATGTTTCTGTAGGCAGTCTCGTTCATGTTGGTGACGTCTTTATACAAAGCCAGATGAAGATTGATGACTTCTCTGTAGACAGAGGGAGGGGGTGGGGTGGGGTTGGTGGTGGTGGTGTCTCTGTCGGGTGGAGGCTGACGACATATCTGCACATTTGGTTGAAGGTTGGTTACGTCTTTGTAGACACTCAAATAGGGAGCGATTATATTATGTAGACAGTCGGATGGAGGCCGATGACGTGAAAGGTGATCGTTACTAACGTCTCTGTAGGCATTTTAATGGAGGTTGGTGGCGTCTCTGTAAGTAGTCGGGCGGAGTTTAGTGACCTCTCTGTTAACGGGCCGGGGTACGAGTTAATGATGTCTCCATTCACATCAGCATATATATTGATGGCATATCTGTAGACAGTCCGGGGGATTGGGGTTGGAGACGTCTCTGTAGATTTTCGGATGTAGTTTGATCACGTCTCTGGGAACAGTAAGGTGGAGTGGATGTTCGTATCGTCTCTGAAACAGTCTTTCTGATGTTAGTGACGTCTCTGTAGGCAGTCCGGTGGAGGTTGACGACATCTGTGTTTACAGTAGGGAGGCAGCTTACAACGTCTTTGCAGACAGTCGGGTTAATGTTGAGGCGCCTCTGTAGACAGTGTTAGAAGTTGGTTACGTCTCTGTAGGTAATTGGGAGCAGGTTAGTGACGTGTCTGTATATATCCGGATGTAGGTTGATCACTTCCCTGTAGACAGTAGAGTGATATTAGTGAAGTTTCATGAGGTCTCTGTAGACAGTAGAGTGATATTAGTGAAGTTTCATGAGGTCTCTGTAGACAGTAGAGTGATATTAGTGAAGTTTCATGAGGTCTCTGTAGACAGTAGAGTGATATTAGTGAAGTTTCATTAGGTCTCTGTAGACAGTAGAGTGATATTAGTGAAGTTTCATTAGGTCTCTGTAGACAGTAGAGTGATATTAGTGAAGTTTCATTAGGTCTCTGTAGACAGTAGAGTGATATTAGTGAAGTTTCAGTAGGTCTCTGTAGACAGTCACGTGGAGTTTAATGACATCTCTGTAGAACATGTAGGTGGATCACATCGCTGTGGACAGTATGGTGGAGTGGATGTTCGTATCGTCTCACAGACAATATTTCTGAGGTTAGCGAAATCTCTGTAGACAGTCGAGTGAAGGTTCATGAGATCTCTGTAGACAGTCGGGTGGAGTTAAATGATGTCTCTATATATCTAATTGGGTAGATTGATGACGTCTCTATAGGTTATCGGGTAGAGGATTAATAGACTCTTTGATCCCCTTGGTGGCGAGATAGGGGATTTTAACCCTGGCGGGGGAAAACAATTAAATTGCAAACAGACAGTTCTATGATTAAGTTAGCAAACAGAAGCTTGCAGGGCATTTACAAACTAATCATCTTTTCGCGATGATTGACACCCCTCTATCTCAACATCAAAGGTGGGGGTGGATATTTTCTTTATTATCCTGATGCCTTATTAGGTACAAGTAAGTTGTCCCAGTGTTTCACATAGTTGACGTGACGTCATAGAATTGTTACTGTGACGTAATAGCATTGTCCTGACATGGCAGTCTCACCCAACCCTCATGTAATTCGGATATATTATAACACGGCTTTAGATATATCCAACTTCGTTATAATTACAACCATGACAGGATAATGCCTTATCTGTGACTTAAAAAAAACGAAGTACATTTTCAAAAAGATAATACATCTTTGTATATAATTAGTGTGTGAATAAAAATTTTAAGATACGTAGTTATTTTCTTTAAGACGACTTATAATCCTGGAACGAAACATTTTTTACATTAAGAAAATTAAAGTCTGAACAATGACATAGAAATACAGTACAGGTGCAAATATATGTAATCTTAAAGACAAAAACATTCATAATGTAGGTTGTCTACACTTCATACTCTGTTGAACTTTTGTCCGACAAGATATTAACCAGACTACAGAATGGACCTTATTCCGCTCTACTCTCTGTAATAATAGAATGAAAATTTTAATTCTGTTGTTTCTTTTAAACAAATCCCAGATTTAAAATAAGGTACATATAGACGATCAGAATAGTGGCGGTTTAAAACAAAAGCCCCAGTTAAATCCGGTCTAAACGTGTCGGTGAAAAGACCTTATAACTTGTGGTATGAATGCGATCAATAATCCACGACCCGCTAAAGAATGGAATGTCAACAAGAACATTCCTGTGGTTCACTCAGCCTTGACGCAGATCATAATCAATCGTAGAGGATTGTCCAATCAGAAACACGTATGCTCGAGGCTTTGGCAGGTTGGTGAGAACTCATTGCTTGTATCGGAAAACCCCCCTTGTTTTGAATGTAAATGTGTATGTAAACTGTCTGGTTCAGCAGAAGAACGACGATTATAACTTCCTGAGGATGAGACAACGATGATGTTGAACCTGTGCAAAGTGATGTCATTCGTGTGAGATTTTTGACAACCTGGACATGGCATTCTACAGTCCACACTCACCGCGCGAGCGACCGGTTCCACATAAACAAATGTCGAGTCCTATGCAGAATGTGGAGCACCAGTATGCATTGCCAAACAGTCACCACCGAACTAGTCCACACGGACCTGGGGGTGCACGCAATGGGTTCGGGTCTACCCATGCGCCTATGCCTCATATTTCCCGGGGGTTTCGGGAGAGTGACACACCCCACAGTCGCCACCACCGGGGTACCAGTGACTTTGACACCCGTCGATCGGAGTGCTTGAGGAGAGGTGTCCTATACGAGGACCCTGACTTTCTTCCACAGGATACATCCGTGTATTACAGCAGGAGTCCTCCCTACAGGATAGAATGGAAACGCCCAGGGGTGTGTAGTCGTTTGATAGAACAGGTGCACGTGGTTCTGGGGAGGGGGATATCAATTGACACCAAAAGGGCTCAATTAGAATGTCTAAATATTGGGATAATGGGGTAACTTCTTCAATAGAACATTGTCCAGGGGTAATTATGCTTAAATGAATAGGTGTGTCCCCTTCTATAGAAGTAAATCACTTATCTATATTAGACAACAAATAGAGGACCTGTCACAGGTTTACATTTTGTTTGGCATTTTGAACAAGTCCAGGAGTTTTTTTATAGTCTTTGGAAATTCATGACAAGTTGAATCAGTTACAAATGAAATGAAAAATAATATGAGATTATGTTTATCACATTATTACTGTAACTAATACAAAGCTTATGTTGACAATGTTCTTGCCCCATATCTATTTTGTTCGCGATGATATAATGCATTATTAACTTGCGAAGATATGATATTGCAATATTGAAACATTCGGAACCTCCATACAGCTCAGCTAGATGTTTTTACATGCATGTTCATTTGGTCCTACGATTTTTTCACCTTTATTTAGTTAAAGGAATAGATGTAGTTATGTAATGGTTTAGACTATGAAACTCATCTGGGATGTGGTAAGAGATTCTGAAAATATTCAGCAGGGACATGTACAGATTGTTGAAAACATCAAATACAAATGTATTAGACTGCATTGTTCATGTAAAAACTTTATAAAAAAGATTTGCTGAAAACTTCTATTATTGTCTCGTGAGTCTCGAACTCTTAGCTTCTATGTTGATTAGATATAATATCTATTTACTTCATATAGATGAAAGGAGTCTGTGGAGTGTGAGGGAGGGGATGATAATAACAGGATAGTGGTGTACAAGATGAACAGTTATTATGGGGTAGAAAATGGATTAAATTTCTCATTACATGCTCTGCAGGGAACATTTTAAATTACATTTTATGTCTTCTATAAAATTTCATTCAGTGCACTGATCAGCTACAATTTGTTTATGCCTGCAGTTCTGCCATAAAGTGATGATTCTGTTTTTCATCGTTAAATCATTTGTTAGTGGTAGAATTGTAATATTTTGTTCGACAACTATTTTAGGAAAAATGTCAAGATTTTGATATTTTCAATCAAAGCTGGAGGGATAACATATACATGTTTCACAAATATTTTAAGAGGTTTTGTGCCGCATTTGAATATCTCTAAGTGTAGGAGGTGGCGTTTGCCTAACTAACTGTTATATTTTCAGTATTAAATGCTGTTAAGAACCACAAGAATCACATCATCAGTTATACAATAGCTACAGATTACCCTTTCAGATTTTTTTGTGATTATTACAGATAATTTTTTTATGAATGCTGAACTTTAAGGAATTTGATTTTTATGCTTAGATAGAACACATACCTGCAGATGAATTGTGGAACTTTTTGGGGTTCTTTTAAATTTGAGTTCAAGCTTTATTGAAAAGAGCCTTTTCAAACCAGGAGTTATTTAATCTGTTAACTGTAGTACAGAGTAATTGGAGCTTGCTCACTACATACCAGACAATATCCCCAGCTATCAACACATGTCCATATTTATGGAAATGTTTTATGCTTTACACAAGCACCTGTATGGTAAATGTTGTATGGAATGTAGAATGGATGACAGGAAGGAGAGTTTTACTTGGACTAAGTAAACAGGGGATTTAGAACACCATCAGTAATCTCATCACAGCAAATAGCGATCTGTACACCCCAAAATCTGACAAGATTACAGAGTATTAGCCAGGTCACTACAAGGCTGGTCACCTGTGACCAGTGATAAGGTCAGTCTCTACAATTAACAATGTCCACTTATGGAGTTATATACTGACATTCAGATGAACAGGTTTGTGTTTGGGTGGGACCTTGTTAATACACCATTATATATACACCTATTCAGTCCAGTTGACATCTTTGTTTACTTGAGTGTAAACACAAATGTTAGATATTAACAGATCAGCAATGCTTTAAGCTTTGATTACCATCAGATATTTTCTTTACCATAGTGTACCAAATAAATATACCCTTGGAAGTAACTGGACAAGACTACTATTCCTCAAAAGCAAACTGGACCCTGTTGATATATGCTAAGCAGTCCTTTCCTGAGGACCTAAACTTTCATTGACACATCTGTAGACCAGTACTGAATAGCCTTATAAGGTAGCATCAGCTTAAACTAATCAGGCTGAAGTAGTAATTTGAACTATCAAAAGTAAACTGTAACACTACATGTTCACTATACCTGTGACGCCAGTGTCCGTGATTGTGATCATGTTGACGTACTACCTTGTAACGTTGAAGGTCAAGTGATCACCCCTACGGTTTAATTTATAGACCCTTAAAACAATGACCATTTGTCAGTAAGTCTTGTTTGTTGGTAATGTATATGTGTACTACTTCCATTGAAATGTGTTTTTATTGTTGGTAATACATAATATAAACCTATGTGACATTCATTGTTTCCTGGTCATAAAAGCCTGTATCCCTACAGTCATGCTATTATGTACATTGTGACTATAAAAAGTATTAAAGGCTAAAGAATTACAATCTAAAAGATATATCGAAAAAATGCTACTCATAGAATTTTTCTCCTTATTCAAAAAAATCTAGACTGACTTTTCATTGAAATAGGAAGGTTGAATATTTTCCTTGTGGTGTATAAACTTAGCTGATGACTTGTTATGTCAAACAGTTTGATTCTGAAGCAACTATCAGCTAGATTTGTCATTAGATATGCATGATTCCAATGTAGGCACGCGAGACAGGTACTTTTACTCTCACTCAGGTGTGAAATATAATTGTCTTGTGACATGAAAGAAGTGAATTATTGATGGGTAGTAGAATTATTACAAGGCAAGGCTTGTCACTCACATCAAGTAAATCCTTCTAGAGTTAATTCTTTACATGTAGAATCTAGAGAAATGAGGTCTACTTTCCTTACATGAAATGTCCAGAGAATTAACTTTGTGACAGAATCAGATTACATTCAGAGTCCATTACTGAACAAATGTCTTCTAATTATAAAACATTTATTAAAAATAAACTTTAAAGACCCTTCTCTGTTACTTAAGTCAGGTTTTTTTTCTGTGGCTTTGTTGAATTGTTCCTGGTCTTTTCGTCTTTATGACGACTCTATTGCTTGGTGTTTTCTCGTGGACAAATATCTGTGTTTTGGGTGTGTGTTTTCAATGCCCTTCATTCATCCCTATATCTAGGATTGCAATTGGCAGTACATAATCATTACCCAACAATCTTTTGTTTATTGTACCATGGACACTTCAATATCATATTCCTGAAGATGATCAGATGTATATGAAACACCATATAAACCATTGTAGTCCTGGCAAGCACAGCAAATCTCTGTATGCTGACAAACTGTACATGTACACCACTAGATAAACAAGTAACATTTAGGGGTTGTCTTTTACTGGTGGAAATTGAATATTTGATGCAAGAATAATTATCATAGTATCAAAGTAGATCTTGAAGTGGAACTCTTTTGTAAAAGGAGTTAACAAAAGCTCTTCAAGTGTGTGACTCCCAGGACTCTTACAACTCATAAATTTGAGGGTCACAAATAATACTGATATCCTGGTTTTTGTTTTGTATTTTTAGGAGATAGCTGGGTACCATCATTTGAAGCCTAATTTTTTCCTAGACAACGCCTCCAGATTTGATGTGAAACAAGGAGAACTAGGTAGGAGTCCTTATTATTAAAAAAACTGTTAAATGGTATGTAATGTATACTTCAAGAAATAATGACTAAGCTATTAAATTTGGATCCCAGATAACAATATATAATTAGTTTACATGCCTATGGTTTAGGTGACTGTTGGGTAGTGTCTGCCATTGCCTGTCTGTCCAGTCCGGACCATCGGGAGCTCTTTCGCAGAGTTGTTCCTGCCGATCAAGGATTCCATGAGGGTTGGTATGCAGGGATCTTCCGCTTTAACTTCTGGCACTTCGGTAAATGGGTGGAAGTGATCGTAGATGACAAACTGCCCACCAGTCGAGGACAATTGCTGTTTGTACACTCTAACAACCGAAATGAGTTCTGGTCAGCTCTCTTAGAGAAGGCTTATGCCAAGTAAGTTCATTACAGTCTCAGTTTAGATTTTGATGTATTAACAGAAAAACAAATATTATGTATACACCGGAAGGACAGACCCCTAACAAAAGGACTTTGATTTTACATGTGACTAAACAGTTACAATTTATTTCTAGGTGTAATCATCTGAACCCTGACATCACCCCTATCCCCCATCAGTATCTATATAAATTACATAACCTAACCTTAAGTGAAATGTATGATGTTCAGTCTGTTCACAAAGGCTACATGGCTTTTAGAAATGGCTGTACAATTCATTTGTAATTCTCCTGCATGATTTTGAATGAGTGAATGAAATAATGTAAAAAATTGGTAGTTATGTGTACATTACATATATAGATAACACTGTCAAAGTACTCATTCTATCAAATTGATGGAATGTGATGACTCAATGACAAACCACCCTATGTTCACTGATTAATGCTTCAGATGAATAATTTGCAGGATTATTTTATCTTTATATTTAGTAATTTTTGTTGAGTGACACTTTGAATGTTTTATGACTTCTTTCTACAGATTAAATGGTTCCTATGAGGCTTTGAAGGCAGGTAACGTAGGGGATGCTTTAACTGATTTTACCGGAGGGATCTGTGAGAGCTATATTTTACGAGGAGGAAAGACCAATGTGCCACCTAACGTGGTCAACATCCTGTTCAAGGCCCTCGACCGCCAGAGCCTGATAGGCTGTGGGATTAATGTAAGATGTGAGAGAGAACGATGTGAGAGGTAGTAGCTTTATGAATTATATAAGGGTAGAGGTCCTATGGGTTTACTCAGATGATGGGTCATGATCATACATTAGATGAAATCTCTAGCCACATTTCTCTGATGTTTTATCAGATCTGATGTAAGATAACAGGATCAAAGCTTTACTTTGATTAATCATTGGAACACCACTTTTTCACAATTGATAAGGGATTTTGTAGGATAATTATTGCCAACAAATTTTTTCATCAAAATAAACCCAGAGTAGTTCTTCAAAGTCATTAATTGTGATTTAGAAGGATTGTTGTTTTTCTTTGCCCAGAAAATTTTCAAGGGAGCATAGAGTCGTCCGTCCATCTGTCCTTTCTTGTCCAGAGCATAACTTTGCCCACACTTAAACAAGGATCATGAAACTTGGTTTATACATTGGTCTTACCATGGGGATGAGCAGTGCACCAAATTCAGGGCCCTAGATCCCTCATTTTTAGAGTTATTGCCCTTTGTTTAAATTTTTTGTTATCAGCATAACTTTTCTTGCATTAAAACAAGGATGATGAAACTTGGTGTACACATTAGTCATATTAAGAAAATGTGCAGTATACCTAATTCAGGGCTTGCAATCCATGAATTACAGAGTTATTACGTTTTGTTGAAATTATGTGTCCAATACAGTCGTTGTTGTGGAGCATTCATCAATTTTACTGATTCTGTTGTCTTTTAAACAGTTCTGTACAACTTTAACCTGAAGCATTTATGTAAAAAAGGTTTGAATTTAATGTGTTTAAAGAAGGCAATTTGGTTTTGTATATACATAAGGTACCGATCATTGAGTAAGATATTAGATGGATTATATCAGGAATCCAACTTAATATGTAGGATATCTGATAATATAATGACAGCTTTTTGAAGGCCTAATCTGTTGTGAAATAGGCAACAAGACATGTTACTGAGGAACATTGACTCTCATTGTGTTGGTGAAGATCAGGCTATGTCAGTATTAAATACTGTTTATCATTTAGACCTTATTTTTTTTTTCAGAATATTAAAGGTGGACCTGGTACAGAGAGTATTCTACCCAGTGGTCTGTGTGCAGGACATGCCTACAGCATCACAGACCTTAGAGAGGTAGGTTGTAGTTCATAGAACTTGATGAGGTGGGTTGTAGCTCTTCCATTATCTTCACTATAGCAACTCCCTTATAGCCCCTCGCCTATAGCAACTCCCATATAGCCCCTCGTCTATAGCAACTCCCTTATAGCCCCTCGCCTATAGCAACTCCCTTATAGCCCCTTGTCTATAGCATCTCCCTTATAGCCCCTCGCCTATAGCAACTCCCTTATAGCCCCTCGCCTATAGCATCTCCCTTACAGCCCCTCGCCTATTGCAACTCCCTTACAGCCCCTCGCCTATAGCATCTCCCTTACAGCCCTTCGCCTATAGCAACTCCCTTACAGCCCCTCGCCTATTGCAACTCCCTTACAGCCCCTCGCCTATAGCATCTCCCTTACAGCCCCTCGCCTATAGCAACTCCCTTACAGCCCCTCGCCTATTGCAACTCCCTTATAGCCCCTCGCCAATAGCAACTCCCTTATAGCCCCTCGCCTATAGCAACTCCCTTACAGCCCCTCGCCTATTGCAACTCCCTTATAGCCCCTCGCCTATTTCAACTCCCTTATAGCCCCTCGCCAATAGCAACTTCCTTATAGCCCCTCGCCTATAGCAACTCCCTTATAGCCCCTCGCCTATAGTTACTCCACTGTTGTACCTCTCCCATTACACCTTCCCTGTATTTCCTCCCCTGTAGCTCCTCTCCAACTGTACCTCCATTGTTGCATCTCCCCTGTAATAACATATTCATTGCATTATTTTCACTGTATTTCCTCTGCTGTAGCACCTCCACTCTTTCTCCTCATTATGTTTCTCTTTGACTTTGGGTTATTTAAGTTTGAATGTTTGTTTTATTACAGATATTGCTCATGTCTGAGGATGGGGAGATGCCCATAACACTTGTTAGAGTGCGAAACCCTTGGGGTAGCAGAGTGGAATGGAACGGGCCATGGGGAGACATGTAAGTGCTATATGAGGGTGTTAGTTTGCAGGTTGGTTCTATTGTTGTATACCTTGTTCTCATTTGAGAATCTGACTTTACTTACTTGGACTGACCAAGATTTACATTCTGGGTGTCGATGAAGTTGAATATACTTTCAGAACACCTGATCTTATTCTCCTTATCTTTTTGTAAGGATTCTCACTGTAATTCTTTCTTTTGTTCATTAAATTGAGTTTGGGTTATGATTATGTTGACTTTTTGGTATTTTCTTAATGTTTTTATTACAATGTTAGGGACATCGTTGTTGTTATAAGATCTTTTTTTACAGTTTTGATTATTGTCTACATTTCATAGGTCTAGAGAATGGAACAGTATTCCTGAACAGGACAGGGAGAAAATGGGTCTGGTGTTCAGAGATGATGGCGAGTTCTGGTAAGTTGTCTCTGTACCACCACAAAAACTACTTCTCCTTAAAAAGCCACATTTTCAGTGAAGAAGTGTTTTTGTATGCTGTCATAATTTTAAAGAAAAGAAATATGTTTTCATTTGGTCTCTTCATCCATATACCTATAAATTCATACTTCGGTTTCTACAAGATAAATTTCTGTAACACTATTAATCGGCATTGAGTGTTTGGATCAGATTAACCCCAAGTTGAACAAAATCTACAGACAACTGCTGGAAACCTGTATGCTTAACAATTTTCACATTGAAAGCATTGCAGTGTTAAATACTGTGTGTGATTCTTAAGCTTTCCTTTACCTGCAAATTATCTGAGTACACCAAAACACCATTATAGTAATCTGTTATGAAAATCGAACCATGGAAAAGGAATTCTGACATGCACCAGTAACAGTAGAGTGGATATGAAGTTAAAACAGGATGTTGTCTCATTCAAGGATGGAGTTTGAAGACTTCAAGCACAACTTTGATAGCCTTGACATCTGTAACTTGACTCCTGACTCTCCAATAGAAATGCCCAAACAGTGGCATACAGCCGAATACCAGGACACTTGGCAGCGTGGTTTTAACGCAGGTGGCAGACCATCACAGCAGGGTAAGGCTAACAGGGCTCTCACACCCCATTTTGGGACTGGGGCCCGGGGCCCTTAGAATTGGGAAAAATAATGGTGTTTTCCTTAGAATTTGGAAAACTTGGGGTCTAAATTGGGAAGAAAGATACTATTTTGCATATTCGGCCCCAAATCTGGCAGATCGAGAGCCCTTAGTTATAAAACTGGAAGCTTCAGTCATCCTTGTAATTAATCTCAGATGATAGCACAATCTAGAAAATATCTTTAATTCAGGAAGAGAAATAAATTGATAATCATTGATATTTTATTGGTGTTTTTGGTCATTGAAATGTGTATTTAAGATTGATTTGTGTTACAGACACCGATTGAACAAATCCCCACACCAATACAAGGTGTCTGACATTGATACAAACCCCAAGTACAAGGTGACTGACATTGATACAAACCCCAAGTACAAGGTGACTGACATTGATACAAACCCCAAGTACAAGGTGACTGACATTGATACAAACCCCAAGTACAAGGTGACTGACATTGATACAAACCCCCAGTACAAGGTGACTGACATTTATACAAACCCCCAGTACAAGGTGTCTGATATTGATACAAACCCCCAGTACAAGGTGTCTGACATTGATACAAACACCAAGTACAAGGTGTCTGATATTGATACAAACCCCCAGTACAAGGTGTCTGACATTTATACAAACCCCCAGTACAAGGTGTCTGACATTTATACAAACCCCTAGTACAAGGTGTCTGATATTGATACAAACCCCCAGTACAAGGTGTCTGATATTGATTTGTGTTACAGACACCCATTGGACAAATCCTTGGTACAAAGTGATTAGCATTAATTTATGTTAGAGATACCTGTTGGATGGACAACCCCTCAGTACAAGGTGTCTGATATTGATTTGTGTTACAGACACCCATTGGACAAATCCCCAGTACAAGGTGACTTTGTCTGACCTTGACGAGGATGGTGACAATGTTTGCAGCTTCATCTTACAAATGATGCAGAAAGATAGACGGAAAATGAAACAGAAAGGAAAGAAAAATCTCTACATAGGATTTGTCATCTATCAGGTTTGTATGTTATGCAGATATGGCTTTCTTTGATACCTGGAAATCTCATTTTTAGCTCACTGGGTACAAGAAACCATGAGCTGATGTTCTTTGATGTTACAGCAACTTTATGCTTATTTTTAAACCATCCTCTATAGATCTGTTATTTCCCACATCACTTTTTTGGTCATATACAATCATTTAACTTCTTGTAATTTATGGCTTTTTGCCAGAGAGCTGCTTGGCAATCTTTGATTACACTTGTTAGATATATATATTTCACATCAAAGTCTGCTGTTTTTGATTCTAAAGATAAATTCAGCCTGCTTGAGGTATGACACCCTTGTAACAGACAATATTCAATCCTAAGTTTTGTTTCAGTAATCTAAGATTGTTAAATAATGATCTAACAGTGGTTTCAGTAAAACGTGTGATAAAGATTTGTTACGTTGGAAGCTTCTGTCATACCATGTAGATAAGTCAGCCACCATATTTCTTCATTACTAATAGAAGTCCAGTCTCCTCTCATTGGAGTAAATAGTCTAGCCTCCTTCCTTCTCTGTAAAATTGTCCAGTCTCCTTCATTCCCAGTAAATAGTCCAGCACTCTTCTTTCCAAGAAAAATAATCCAGCCTTCTTCCTTCCTAATAAAGAATCCATCCTCCTTCCGTCCAAGTAAATAATCTACCCTCCTTCCTTCCCAGTAAATAGTCCAGCTTCCTTCCTTCCCATTAAATTGTACAGCCTCCTTCCTCTCTTTCCAAGAAATAATAATCTACCCTCCTTCCCTAGTCCAGCTTCCTTCCATTAAATAAAGAATAGTCCATCCTCCTTCCCTGTCCCAGTAAATAATAGCCTCCTTCCTTCCTTCCTTCCCAGTAAATAGTCCAGCTTCCTTCCTTCCCATTAAATTGTACAGCCTCCTTCCTTCCCAGTAAATAGTCCATCCTCCTTCCTTCCCATTAAATTGTACAGCCTCCTTCCTTCCCAGTAAATAGTCCAGCCTCCTTCCTTCCCAGTAAATAGTCCAGCCTCCTTCCTTCCCAGTAAATAGTCCAGCCTCCTTCCTTCCCAGTAAATAGTCCAGCCTCCTTCCTTCCCAGTAAATAGTCCAGCCTCCTTCCTTCCCAGTAAATAGTCCAGCCTCCTTCCTTCCCAGTAAATAGTCCAGCCTCCTTCCTTCCCAGTAAATAGTCCAGCCTCCTTCCTTCCCAGTAAATAGTCCAGCCTCCTTCCTTCCCAGTAAATAGTCCAGCCTCCTTCCTTCCCATTAAATTGTACAGCCTCCTTCCTTCCCAGTAAAATCCAGTCCAGTAAATAATCTACCCTCCTTCCTTCCCAGTAAATAATCTACCCTCCTTCCTTCCCAGTAAATAATCTAGCCTCCTTCCTTCCCATTAAATTGTACAGCCTCCTTCCTTCCCAGTAAATAGTCCAGCCTCCTTCCTTCCCAGTAAATAGTCCAGCCTCCTTCCTTCCCAGTAAATAATCTACCCTCCTTCCTTCCCAGTAAATAATCTAGCCTCCTTCCTTCCCAGTAGATAGTCCAGCCTCCTTCCTTCCCAGTAAATAGTCCAGCCTCCTTCCTTCCCAGTAAATAGTCCAGCCTCCTTCCTTCCCAGTAAATAGTCCATCCTCCTTCCTTCCCATTAAATAGTCCAGCCTCCTTCCTTCCCAGTAAGTAAATAATCCAGCCTCCTTCCTTCCCAGTAAATTGTACAGCCTCCTTCCTTCCCTCCAGCCCCTTCCTTCCCAGTAAATAGCAGCCTCCTTCCTTCCCAGTAAATAGTCCAGCCTCCTTCCTTCCCAGTAAATAGTCCAGCCTCCTTCCTTCCCCAGCCTCCTTCCTTCCCAGTAAATAATCCAGCCTCCTTCCTTCCCAGCCTCCTTCCTTCCCAGTAAATAGTCCAGCCTCCTTCCTTCCCAGTAAATAATCTACCCTCCTTCCTTCCCAGTAAATAGTCCAGCCTCCTTCCTTCCCAGTAAATAGTCCAGCCTCCTTCCTTCCCAGTAAATAGTCCAGCCTCCTTCCTTCCCAGTAAATAGTCCCCTCCTTCCTTCCCAGTAAATAGTCCAGCCTCCTTCCTTCCCAGTAAATAGTCCAGCCTCCTTCCTTCCCAGTAAATAGTCCAGCCTCCTTCCTTCCCAGTAAATAGTCCAGCCTCCTTCCTTCCCAGTAAATAATAGCCTCCTTCCTTCCCAGCCTCCTTCCTTCCCAGTAAATAGCCTCCTTCCTTCCCCAGCCTCCTTCCTTCCCAGTAAATAGTCCAGCCTCCTTCCTTCCCAGTAAATAGTCCAGCCTCCTTCCTTCCCAGTAAATAGTCCAGCCTCCTTCCTTCCCAGTAAATAGTCCAGCCTCCTTCTCCTTCCTTCCCAGTAAATCCAGCCTCCTTCCTTCCAGCCTCCTTCCTTCCCAGTAAATAGTCCAGCCTCCTTCCTTCCCAGTAAATTGTACAGCCTCCTTCCTTCCCATTAGATAATTCATCTTCTGAACTTGCTAGTGAATAATCCAGCTTCCAGCCTTGCAGGTAGACCATCATTATTTATTTCTATAAAAGTGGATGATGGAATTGGATTTCTAGTGTTATTCTAATCAACAAAAGACCAGGTTTTCATTCGAAATAGAGAAACAGAATGCTAACTGTTTAAGTACTGATCTAACAGTAGTACACACTAATCCTAATATCATATTCAGTTGTGACTTTCCATATTCAACAAAATGGCTTGGCCTGATGTGTTTGTTTTCTAAATTTCAGCTTCACAAAGAAGAGGAGATACCTTTACCGAAAGAGTTCTTTGAGACAAACCGCCAAGTTGAATCAAGTGGCCATTTTATAGATAGTCGACAGATAATCACACGTATGACGATGAGTCCCGGGGAATATGTGGTTGTGCCATGTACCTATGATCCTAACGAGCTCGGCAGTTTCTACCTCCGATTCTTCTTTGAAAACAAGAATGTTGTTAAGTAAGTTTCTGAATAGATGTCAAATATCTTTTAGCTTCTAGATGATGGATTTATGATAGCTTTTTGTGTGATATTTACAGATGAATTGAAGGCAGAGAAATAAACCAGTCTGTGCTATTAGGCAGTTCTGTGCATGGTCACTTAACCTTAATTGCTCAGGATGCCTTGAAGCAGGCCTCACTGTAGGATGTTCAGGGATTTAGACATCAGCTACTACAAGTACAACTGCCTCAGAATGACCGAGGCTGCCCAAGGGGCAGTAATCCCAGCATACAATTTAACAAATAGAATACACCTACCGTTTGCTTAGATATTTCTATATTAAGAAAATAAGCAGTAAAATTGAAGAATTGAATATTTCATCAGTGGAGAATATGTTGTGACAATTACAGTTATATGGATGCCGCACCAGAGAGGGTTGCTGTTACTTTGCCTCCTAATCCCCCTGACAGCGACAAGGAAGACAAATTCAAGAGATTTTTCTATTCTGTCTCAGGAGAGGTAAATCTTTAACTTCATTTATTTTCATAAAAATCATTGTCACAACCTCATCATGGAAAGGTATGAGATTCCATTATTCCAACAGGATTGGCCAGAATTGATTTTGATGTATTACCAATAAGTACGAGTAACAATGGTAAATGTTAAGGATTGTTCTACTTTCTCAGTGAATTAAAGATTCCTATGGTATGGTGTGTTACAACTGGTGTATACAATGAAAGATTCTTGTTACTTCAGGACATGGAAATTGATCCATTTGAATTGAGAAGTGTCGTAAACGATGCATTAAGGAAAGGTAAGATAACAAAAAAACAGGTATTTATGATGTGATAGAGACGCTTGTAGCTGTAGTCATGTTAGTATAATTTATAATCAAATCTGACAGGAGAAGGTGTGGAGTTTATTATCCTGAAGCTAGGCTACATATACCTACATGTACTGAGACAATCCAGCATTCAGCATTCTAGGATTTTACTGATGCATGTAGTCCAGTTTCCTCCAGTTTTTAAATCACCTGTATGCAATTATTAGGACAAGCAGGATGGTGGGATTGCTGTGAAAAAAAGATTAAGATATTTGTTTTTGTATGACAGTGAAGAGGTTTGTCAAGGATATTTTAGGGGGGTTGTCAACATTGGTATCTGTTTCGATATTGATTGAGAAAATTTTCAAGATTTGTATTTACTGATATTTGATGTGATGTTTCCTAAAGGTTCAACATTCAGATAATTGACCATGACTGATGTGTGGTCAAAGACTTCAAATATATGAAAATAGTTAAAATGATTTACAAAAATTCTATTTTAGGACCCATGAATAAGTACTACCATAGCTTTTATATTCTCTTTCAAATATCAAGATGGCCTTAATGAAGCCAGGTTCCATGAGCAAAAAAGATTGAAATTGTTTCACATAGATTAACTGTATGAGGTACAGTATTGTAGTGGTACTTAACCAGGAAATGTTATAAACAGACGTCTTTCTTTGTACTTCATATTAAAAATGTCCAGGTTATGTACATCTACAAGATTTGATGTTCATTGAGAAAATTGATAATGAAACCTTGAGCTTAATCAATTAAAATTCTTGTGCAGATGATAGAGTTAATGCTGTTGCAGTAATTGTCTGTGTGTCTGTTTCAGAACCTTTACACAGGGACCTGTCTGTGGATGCTTGTAAATCTTTTGTGCTGTTATTAGATGTATCCTTTACGTTGGATCAGAAACAGATTCTGTGACAGATATTTAAAATGGTATATTTTAATGGTAGATTAGAGTGACATCTATTTATGCATCTATATTGAGGGCAGATTTATATACAACACCTATCATTTGATGATGAGATATTTTGAAAAAATATATTCTGTCTGTATTTGATAAAGATGAAATTTTTGATGATTTTAATGCTTGCCTAAGTCTCAAATTGAAAGCCATACAGATGAAAAATTCTTCAAACACAAGAGTGGATTTGGTGTAAAGCATACTTTAAGCTCTGTTAACTAACATCGATGAGGTATAGGCAATTTGAAAGTATTTGTAGGAATCTGATTACTTGATTTTTAACACTTTCACTTTTCTCAGAGAGCAAGGTAGCCAAACACCTTTATCTTTGATAATAAATGTAAAATCCCTTGGTCCTAATTGTAGTGATTGTCATACCAGCCAGCAGTTCTGACCACATCATTGGTGATGATAAGTAATTCAGACCTACATGTAAAATCCCTTGTCCTAATTGTAGTGATTGTCATACCAGCCAGCAGTTCTGACCACATCATTGGTGATGATAAGTAATTCAGACCTACATGTAAAATCCCTTGTCCTAATTGTAGTGATTGTCATACCAGCCAGCAGTTCTGACCACATCATTGGTGATGATAAGTAATTCAGACCTACATGTAAAATTTCTTGTCCTAATTGTAGTGATTGTCATACCAGCCAGCAGTTCTGACCACATCATTGGTGATGATAAGTAATTCAGACCTACATGTAAAATCCCTTGTCCTAATTGTAGTGATTGTCATACCAGCCAGCAGTTCTGACCACATCATTGGTGATGATAAGTAATTCAGACCATTTAAAATCTCTGTGAAAATATGCCTAGTTATTTTTATAGCTTCCTTACCTAGCAACAGACAGACAACTCCGGCCAATTAGGCTACCCAGAGTTCCAGTACCTGTGGAATCTACTCAGGAGTTGGAAGGTACTACTCAATACAATGTTCTTAAGTCAATTGAAGAAGCCATGGGTTATAAACACTAATAAATCTATACAGGTTGACTGTTTGCCTGTTTGCTCTTATTATATTACCAGTAGCCCACTTTGACTGTAGATACATATTGTACACTAGAACTGATTGTGTTATTGAATTTTTAGTCTTATTATCAAAGTTTTCATCTTTTTCAGAAACTTTTTTACAAATTTGATGCAGACCAATCAGGGAAGCTTAGTTCATTTGAACTTAGGAGAGCTCTTGGAGCAGCAGGTGATCTAGATTGTCTCCCCTCTCACAGCTCTCTTAATACATTATTCTATAGTTAGGAGTCTGACAATGTCTCATAACTGAAGTGTCATACAGTATTCAAGTCTCTACGCAATCAGAATGTATAACATGATAAAGAGATGCAAATTATCAAATTATTTTAAGAGAAAAGAAACATAGTAAATAAAAAATTCATGTAACCATATTCTGGATATTCTGACATTGATCAAACGGAGCATTTAAATTATTTGTTTGTATGTTTATTTCACTAGGTTTTAAAATCAACAATTCCACAATGCAGTGGCTAGTGTACCAGTACGCTGATGAACGGTCCCTGGTGGGGCTGGATAGCTACCTGATATGTTTAGCTAAACTCATGAAACTGTTCAGTAAGTATGTCCATTTTTGTACAGGGAAGGGTTCAGTAAGTATGTCCTTTTTGTACAGGGAACTGTTCAGTAAGTATGTCCTTTTGTACAGGGAACTGTTCAGTAAGTATGTCCTTTTGTACAGGGAAGGGTTCAGTAAGTATGTCCTTTTTGTACAGGGAACTGTTCAGTAAGTATGTCCTTTTGTACAGGGGAGGGTTCAGTAAGTATGTCCATTTGTACAGGGAACTGTTCAGTAAGTATGTCCTTTTGTACAGGGAACTGTTCAGTAAGTATGTCCTTTTGTACAGGGAACTGTTCAGTAAGTATGTCCTTTTGTCCAGTAAGTAAGTATGTCCTTTTGTACAGGGAACTGGTAAGTGTCCAGGGTTCAGTAAGTATGTCCTTTTGTACAGGGAACCAGTAAGTATGTCCTTTTGTACAGGGAAGGGTTCAGTAAGTATGTCCTTTTTGTACAGGGAACTGTTCAGTAAGTATGTCCTTTTGTACAGGGGAGGGTTCAGTAAGTATGTCCATTTTTGTACAGGGAAGGGTTCAGTAAGTATGTCCTTTTTGTACAGGGAACTGTTCAGTAAGTATGTCCTTTTGTACAGGGGAGGGTTAAGTAAGTATGTCCATTTTTAGGTCATCTGGACCCGAAGGGTCCGATGACCTATAGTCATCATGCTTCGTCCTTCCGCCGTTAAACTTTTCATTCAAAGGGAAGGTCTGGGCTAATACTTGGCACAGAGGATACTGGCATGGAGCTCTACCAAGTTTGTTCAAATGAATGACCTTGACCCACTTTAAAGGTCACAGGGGTCAAATATGTTAAAATATTTAAACAACTTCTTCTCAATAACCAAAAGGCTCAGATTGCTGATATTGTGCCTGTGGCATGCTGGGATGAAGGACTACCAAGTTTGTTCAAATGAATGACCTTGAACCACTTTAAAGGTCACAGGGGTCAAATATGTTAAAATATTTAAACAACTTCTTCTCAATAACCAAAAGGCTCAGATTGCTGATATTGTGCCTGTGGCATGCTGGGATGAAGGGCTATCAAGTTTGTTTAAATGAATGACCTTGAACAACTTTCAAGGTCACAGGGGTCAAATATGTCAAAATCTTTAAATAACTTCTTCTCAAATACTAGAAGGCCTAGGGCTAATACTTGGCCCATAGCATGCTGGCATGGAGCCCTACAAAGTTTGTTCAAATGAATGACCTTGGCCCACTTTCAAGGTCACAGGGGTCAAATATGTTAAAATATACAAAGGACTTCATCTCAATAAGAAAAAATCTATGAGTGCCGATATTGGGTCTGTAGCATGCTGGGAGGAAAGGCTACCAAGTTGATTTAAATGAATGACCTTGAACAACTTTCAAGGTCGCAGGGGTCAAATATGTCAAAATCTTTAAATAACTTCTTACTAGAAGGCCAGGCTAATACTTGGCCCATAGCATGCTGGCATGGAGCCCTACAAAGTTTGTTCAAATGAATGACCTTGGCCCACTTTAAAGGTCACAGGGGTCAAATATGTTAAAATATACAAAGGACTTCATCTCAATAAGCAAAAGTCTATGAGTGCCGATATTGGGTCTGTAGCATGCTGGGAGGAAAGGCTACCAAGTTTATTCAAATGAATAACCTCAACCCACTTTCAAGGTCACAGGGGTCAAATATGTTAAAATCTTTAAACAACTTCTTCTCAATAACCAAAAGGCTCAGATTGCTGATATTGTGCCTGTGGCATGCTGGGATGAAGGGCTATCAAGTTTGTTTAAATGAATGACCTTGAACAACTTTCAAGGTCACAGGGGTCAAATATGTCAAAATCTTTAAATAACTTCTTCTCAAATACTAGAAGGCCTAGGGGGCTAATACTTGGCCCATAGCATGCTGGCATGGAGCCCTACAAAGTTTGTTCAAATGAATGACCTTGGCCCACTTTCAAGGTCACAGGGGTCAAATATGTTAAAATATACAAAGGACTTCATCTCAATAAGCAAAAGTCTATGAGTGCCGATATTGGGACTGTAGCATGCTGGGAGGAAAGGCTACCAAGTTTATTCAAATGAATGACCTCAACCCACTTTCAAGGTCACAGGGGTCAAATATGTTAAAATATACAAACGACTTCTTCTCAACAAGCAAAAGTCCATGAGTGCTGATATTGGGCCTGTAAGATGCTTGGAGGAGAGGCTACCAAGTTTGTTCAAATGAATGACCTCAACCCACTTTCTAGGTTTGGCTTGCTTTTTGTCAGATGACCGTTAAGGCCCATGGGCCTCTTGTTGTACAGGGAACTGTTCAGTAAGTATGTCCTTTTGTACAGGGAACTGTTCAGTAAGTATGTCCATTTTTGTACAGGGAAGGGTTCAGTAAGTATGTCCTTTTGTACAGGGAAGGGTTCAGTAAGTATGTCCTTTTTGTACAGGGAAGGGTTCAGTAAGTATGTCCTTTTGTACAGGGAACTGTTCAGTAAGTATGTCCTTTTGTACAGGGAAGGGTTCAGTAAGTATGTCCTTTTGTACAGGGAAGGGTTCAGTAAGTATGTCCTTTTGTACAGGGAAGGGTTCAGTAAGTATGTCCTTTTTGTACAGGGAAGGGTTCAGTAAGTATGTCCTTTTGTACAGGGAAGGGTTCAGTAAGTATGTCCTTTTGTACAGGGAACTGTTCAGAATGTATGTCCTTTTGTACAGGGAACTGTTCAGTAAGTATGTCCTTTTGTACAGGGAACTGTTCAGTAAGTATGTCCTTTTGTACAGGTAAGTATGTCCTTTTTGTACAGGGAACTGTGCAGTAAGTATGTCCTTTTGTACAGGGAACTGTTCAGTAAGTATGTCCTTTTGTACAGGGAAGGGTTCAGTAAGTATGTCCTTTTTGTACAGGGAAGGGTTCAGTAAGTATGTCCTTTTGTACAGGGAACTGTTCAGTAAGTATGTCCTTTTGTACAGGGAACTGTTCAGTAAGTATGTCCTTTTGTACAGGGAACTGTTCAGTAAGTATGTCCTTTTGTACAGGGAACTGTTCAGTAAGTATGTCCTTTTGTACAGGGAAGGGTTCAGAATGTATGTCCTTTTGTACAGGGAAGGGTTCAGTAAGTATGTCCTTTTGTACAGGGAACTGTTCAGTAAGTATGTCCTTTTTGTACAGGGAACTGTTCAGTAAGTATGTCCTTTTTGTACAGGGAACTGTTCAGTAAGTATGTCCTTTTGTACAGGGAACTGTTCAGTAAGTATGTCCATTTGTACAGGGAACTGTTCAGAATGTATGGTTGTCCTTTTGTACAGGGAACTGTTCAGTAAGTATGTCCTTTTGTGTATGTCCTTTTGTACAGGGAACAGGGAAGGGTTCAGTAAGTATGTTCAGGGAAGGGTAAGTATGTCCTTTTGTAAGTATGTCCTTTTTGTACAGGGAACTGTTCAGTAAGTATGTCCTTTTGTACAGGGAACTGTTCAGTAAGTATGTCCATTTGTACAGGGAACTGTTCAGAATGTATGTCCTTTTGTACAGGGAAGGGTTCAGTAAGTATGTCCTTTTGTACAGGAAGTATGTCCTTTTGTACAGGGAAGGGTTCAGAATGTATGTCCTTTTGTACAGGGAAGGGTGTACAGGGAACTGTCCTTTTGTACAGAATGTATGTCCTTTTGTACAGGGAAGGGTTCAGTAAGTATGTCCTTTTGTACAGGGAAGGGTTCAGAATGTATGTCCTTTTGTACAGGGAAGGGTTCAGTAAGTATGTCCTTTTTGTACAGGGAAGGGTTCAGTAAGTATGTCCTTTTTGTACAGGGAAGGGTTCAGTAAGTATGTCCTTTTGTACAGGGAACTGTTCAGTAAGTATGTCCTTTTGTACAGGGAACTGTGCAGTAAGTATGTCCTTTTGTACAGGGAAGGGTTCAGTAAGTATGTCCTTTTGTACAGGGAAGGGTTCAGTAAGTATGTCCTTTTGTACAGGGAACTGTTCAGTAAGTATGTCCTTTTTGTACAAGGAACTGTTCAGAATGTATGTCCTTTTCGTACAGGAAACTGTTCAGTAAGTACCATAAATTTGTGCATATAGTGCACACTTTTTTGGGCAAAAAGGGGATGCATAATATACATAGGAACATAACCTTCTAGTGGTTATCATTCTCGAGTTCTTTGTCCGCCATATTGGATTACCTCCCTTCACATAGTTATTTTTAGAGTCGTAGGTCATTTATGATAGATTGAAGATAAAAACAACAAAGAATGAAATAAATTTCGGATGTTTTAATGCAATTCATTATTTTTTTATATATATAAAAAGCAACTTACAACTGATAAATCCTGAACGCACTAAGTAGGAAGCAGTTCATAGTACTGAAGTTACTTTTCATTTTACTGTGATCAATCACTTTCATTACTATGTGCTTATTAAACTCAGTCACTGAAACCCTTCAGATTCCTCCTCATCATTGTCACTGTTAAATAAGAATGCCAGATCGAAGTCTGCCTTGGTAGATTTTTCGTTGTCGTGGTAAAACAGGTCGTAATCATCCTCGTAATTGTCCTCCATATCAACATCAACAACAAGTCTACTATCAGCCCATCCAATTGCTGCTTTGAACTCAGTGACCTAATGACCTTTCTGTATCTGCATGGCCTGCATGTGTGGTAATGACATACTGACAACAATGCCGGCATCTTGGGGTTTGCATATGAAATTATACAGCTCTCTCTCCATCTTTGTGGGGCTTTCTGATCAGGGGTTTTTCAGACTGTTAAAACAACATTGTTTTCTGACCAATAGCACATGTTCAGAAGAAGGTATTCCTAAAAAACGTTATTTTTTGATGAAATCACAGATTAGTACTTTTATTAGGTATTTAATACATTTAAATTCTTTTATTACAGATGACTTCAAAAAATACAGCTCTAACAATCAGATGTCATTATCTATAAATCAGGTGAGTTCTACAATATATATGTATTACTTCTCCTTTGCTCTTCTAAACTTCCCAGGTTTAACTTGCTTATGACCCCAGACCCCTTAGGTCATAAGAAATCAGGTTCAAGTCACCAGGGGTTTCTATTGTAGTATTTGACCCGGAATCTCTAAGGTCATTTTATCTCAGATTTAAGCCACCAGGCCCCAGTTTCATGAATCTTTCTTAACTTCAGGAAATCTCACACAGAAATGTTTTCCTGTTGACTATAAGTTACAGAGATTCATGAAATTGGGGCCGAGGGGTTTTTATTGTCAATATGCTAGGATCATTCCATTTATTCTGTAACATTCTGTACATTATATTATGTATCTGTATTGGCATCACTCCTGTGATTATAAATCATATTTATGTGTAGATGTTGACAATAATTTAACACACATCTTGTACACCACTGTGTTAGCTGCTGTGATCTACCATACTATATTCCTATGTCCCACTGTTTTGTTTCAGTGGTTGGAGCGTTCCTTGTCAGTATGATGCTATGATCACTGTTGTGTCTGTTGTTCTGTCGAAGTTATCTGTGATAATTCATGTGGCTGAGAGTTTTCTGCTGAAGATTAAAAAAGTTAAAGACACAAGCTGCTACAAGTGCCTGAGAGACACAGAATTGGACAATGCTGCAGACATTGTTTTGTGATCAGTGCTTAAAGAGAATGTGCCTGAAAGTTACTGAATATGATGAGAATGCTGACTCATGCCTGAAAGTTACTGAATATGATGAGAATGCTGACTCATGCCTGAAAGTTAATGAATATGACGAGAACACGGACTCGTGCCTGAAAGTTGCTGAATATGACGAGAATGCTGACTTGTGCTAGAAGGTTGCTGAATATGACGAGAATGCTGACTAATGCCTTAGGGATGCTGAATAGTGCTTGAAGGATGTGCCTGAATGTTGAGAGATGTGACAAGAATGCTGACTTGTGCCTAAAGGTTGCTGAATAGTGGCTGAAGGTTGGGATATGTGATGAGAAAGCAGTCATGTGCCTGAAACTTGCTGACCAGTATCTGAAGGTTGAGAAATTTGGTGATAATGCTAACTGGTGCCAGAAAGTAGAGAAATGTGATGGGAATGCTGACTTGTGCCTGAAAGTTGCTGACTAGTGCCTGAAGGTAGAAAAATATATGACATTATGCTGACCTGTACCTAAAGGTAGAGAAATGTGATGAGGAAAATGTGCCTGAAGGTTGCAGACATTTGCCTGAATGTTGTTGACTTGTACCTGAAAGCAGTGAACTATGTGATATTATGCTGACCTGTGCCTGAAGGTAGAGAAATGTAACATTATGTTGACTTGTGTCTGAAGGTTGCTTGTGCCTGAAGGTTGCTGTATGTGACCTTGTTCTATTGTCTATAAGTTGTGCTACATGCTTATCTGGTTAGAGACTTAATCTAGTGGACAGTTGAAGGACAAATATGCTCCCTGGATTCATGTCTCACTTTGGAAAATAGAAGACTGAAATCCTTCTGTTTCTGAAGAAATGTTCATCAATGATATTCAGGAAATTTAATGAGATTGTCAGGAGTTAACTAATGTGTATTACGTTACAAAGGAAGCTCACCAAACTAATGTGTATTACGTTACAAAGGAAGCTCACCATGTTATTACATTACTAAAAGCCTTACGTATAAACTGTGGATGTGTCGCTTACTTCGTGGGTAAATTGTACAAAATATATCAGTTAAACCAGTGTAACTGGATACCAGTAATCTTTGTAACTAGATACTGCTGCCCATGTAACTAGAAAAGTTAATCTGTGTAGCTAGATACAATTTACCTGTGTATATAGATACAATTTACCTGTGTATATAGATACAATTTACCTGTGTATATAGATACAATTAATCTGTGTCAGTGGATACCATTAAAGATACTGTTACCCATGTAACTAGATAGGTTAGCTTGTGTAACTAGACAAAGTTGTAACCTGTTTCACTAGATAGTTTAACTTTTGTTACTATATACCATTACCCACGTAACTAGATACTTCAACTGTGTAGCTAGACACCCGTAACTTGTTTAACTAGATACCATAACCCACGTAACTAGATACTTCAACTGTGTAGCTAGACACCAGTAATTTGTGTCAGTGGATACCATTAAAGATACTGTTACCCATGTAACTAGATAGGTTAGCTTGTTTAGGTAGATACCAGTAACTTTGTAACTAGATACCATTATCAATGTATCTATATAGATTAAGTTGTGTTACTAGATACTGTTAACCATTATACACAATACTTAGTGAGGCTTACCCAAACAGTTACCAGTGCCAGTTAAACAATGACTACTTTTGTCTAGTATGGTCATTATCATTAAGATGTTGTAGACACAACAGATCTAAGTGATTTTTACGAAATAAATAGATTATTAAAGCATTTATAAAAGTCAGTATTGAAAACAAGATTCATTGATGATGGATCTGATCGTGTCATTCATTATTACATCATTCCACAAGTAGAGAGATGTTTGTAAAACTGAATATCTTATAAATGTGATGTTTTATCATTTTATAGGTTTTTAAAACCATATCTACATTTCAATATCTTTGTAATATATTTAGAAAATTCAATGACCTAATATTAACGAGGGCCATTTTGTCTTACTTTTATTTACATTTTTAGAAATATATGTCTCCTTAATTTTTTGTGTACCTATCTATCAAAGTTTAATGCTAGCTTATGGGGCTATGTACTCCAAATTAGCTGTACACTAAGAATAATGTTTAATGTATTGTGTAATGTCTGCTGGGTGATTTTGAAAGTATTTTTATAATTTTATTTTTTTTTTACTAATTGTTTGTTTGTGTTTTTTAGAAATGTTTTTGCTATTTTTTTCATTTTAACTTAATGTCATTCATTTGTTTCTACTAAAACAGAAAAAGGTATGTCTATCAAAAATGTCGTCTCTAAGAAACACAAGTTACAGGAAGTCAGATTTTTGAGGACATGCTAGCAGGAATGATTTCTTTGAATTGTCAGATATAAAAAGTTTACAAAAGGTATTCTTTTATTAATTTAATTCAATATGTATGATTGTACTGACTGCCATCTTGCAATATATTTCTCTAAACAGAATCCAAGAAAAACTTCTTGCATGAAACTTTCTACAGAGTAGATATATATAGACTACCTAATGTGGTTGGGTTTGAATTCAGATGTTAACTTCAATAAATGATAGCACCAATGGTAGTTTCCACTCCAACTGTTCAGTATTCAGGGATATAATCATGATATGAACGGGTGTCAAATAAAAACTTGAAGTTTTTATTGTAATTCAAATATATAGCTAGTTCAAAATCTAAAGGTCTATTGGTAAAAGTTCTTGAGTAATTACTGTCATCAGATGAAAAATCAGGATTAGAGATATTTTGATAAAAACATATTTCTTTGTAATATCTATACATTGTACATGTACCTTACTGGTGTCACCTCCACTTCTTTTTGTGGCACTTTATTTGTATTTACACTAATTTGAAGCATCGTATGTATATGTTGAATCAGTGCTACCATCTAGTCAGTGTTTACAAGTAGGTACATTGTCATTAACTGATAAATTTAGTATTCAAAACTTCAAAACTAATTTATACACATATACCTGGTATATGTATGTACATGAATAGACCAGTTTCATATGAGTTCTCTTATTTTATAGCAAGTAACCTCATTTTGATAATCAAATCATATTATACCAATCAAAACTGTCTCCATTGGGTTTGTCCTACTGGTCCAATTTTTCTAAGCAGGGCCCTAGAGATTTCATCTTTTATTTTTTGAAAATATTGAAATGTTTGTCTGGTTAAAGATAGTTTCATTGATATTGAATAATAAATGTCTGTATTTTAAAAAAAAATATTAAAAGTTGTATAAGAATTTTGTATACATCCATTTTAATGGACTACAATGGTTGTCAACAAACTCATTCGAGAATGATAGCACCTGTCACAAGGTGTGGAAGAGATAATCCCAGAATGATAGCACCTGTCACAAGGTGTGGAAGAGATAGTCCCAGAATGATAGCACCTTCACAAGGTGTGGAAGAGATAGTCCCAGAATGATAGCACCTGTCACAAGGTGTGGAAGAGATAATCCCAGAATGATAGCACCTGTCACAAGGTGTGGAAGAGATAATCCCAGAATGATAGCACCTGTCACAAGGTGTGGAAGAGATCACTCCAGAATATGCTTGTTGACAATTTATCAAATCTGTCCACTGCATAATTTTGACAAGTAGATGATTTTTTATGTTTCACTATGTTCTAAGTATTGAAGTCCCTTGACAATGACCATAACCTGTCACTTGGTGTGAAAGAGAGCATTTCAATGTGTTTAGATAGTAAGATTTGATGTATGTTTCTTCTGAAGGACGAGTTCTACCTCACCGAATTGGCATATTGAAATTTTATAGGGTACCATCATTCAAGGCAGTCCCCTCTTTCGATTATTAGTGATACCCTGTTAGTCTTTGGTCTAAACCATGCTAACAACTTAAACAAAGCACTAAATGTGTTACTTTGTAACCTCTACATGGACAAAGTATTACACAGTATAATATCTGCTGCTTGTGAATTTTACCATACAGGTAGACTTTGTAGTGCTGTATTGTTTGTCCTGAGATAATTATCAATCTTGAGAAGTTTATTAACACACCTGTTTACATGGTTAATCACATTTACCCTGTGATTTTATAGTTGATGTGTGATCTTTTAACCAATTCTATAGGTTTTATGATTGGACTTTAAAAGTTTGACAAAGTCTGCTGACGTAGATCTGGTTGTTCCTGTGTATGACTTTCATGACTTCTCTGACCATCTATCGTTCTAGTAAAGCTGTAGAGTTATCTCCTCTTATGTGATTAAACCTTGAGATATATTCAGTCATTTCAAAATACTTAAACTTAGTATGAATTAAACCAAAGTACATGGTGAGTTACTTATATCACATTATATTGTTGGTTTTTGTTTTGTGCTCAAATAAAATTATTTTTGTTGACAAAATTGTCTGAAAATTAATGTTTATAACTTATTATGAATACCTTTATATCACTGTGTTATATGTTTATCTTGGCTGCGATATTGAATCAGTAAATATCACATACACACTCCAGGCAGGAAATACTAGGTGTGTAGGATTATATTTGTGCTGGAATACATTACACTCTTCTTAAAGTAGGGATGTGTATTACCAGCATACTTCCTTGGTAAAATATTGTATGAAAATTTACCTGTAACATGTTATTTTTGTTTACGATGAAATTTTGTGATAGCAGAGAGAGACAGATTGTTTTGTTTTTGTTTACGATGTAATTTTGTGTTAGCGGAGGGAGACAGATCGTATGTTTTTGTTTACGATGTAATTTTGTGTTAGCGGAGGGAGACAGATCGTATGTTTTTGTTTACGATGTAATTTTGTGTTATGTTTTTGCGATGTAATTTTGTGAGGGAGGGATCGTATGTTTTTGTTTACGATGTAATTT